TTCCTGAACGGTTAGCTGTTACTAGTAGTAGTCATATTTATGAAGTGACTTTAAACCAAGGTGATCTCTGCTCATTATTTACTAGAAATGTCCACCCTGCATTGAACCCTTTCTGTAGTCCATTCTCAACACAGCAGCCAAGGGATCATTTTAAACCAGAAAATGTTATTCCTTACAGGGATGGGAACATCTGGTCAGCAGGCTACATAAGGCCCATGAAATAATTTGGTACATGACTTGTCAGACATAGTTTATGCTTCCTACCAGCTGTCTACAGCCCATCTACAGTATTTATAATTGTGTAAAACATATGAATGTTACAAATATTCATGGCCCTTGGAAGAAAAATAAAGATTCTTCACCCTTGAGAGGCCTTCCATCTTCATGCAAAGGTGAAGCTAGAGCCTTTCCAAGCTCTGCTTCTCTTTTACCCATTCTATTATTGGTTCTCCACTGTGGTTAACAGACTTCCATGCTTCCTTTGAACAGGACAGCAACATATCTACCTCTAGACCTTGAACTTACTGGTCCCTCTGAGAAAGAAGGCTCTTCCTGTTATTCACATGACTCCTCCTCTTACAGCCTTCAGCCCTTTACAGAAATGTCTAACCTACCTAAATTTGCTGTACACTCCTACATGTTCCAACCTCTCCTTATTCCTTTTCGTTACATCACATTTGTGTGTGTGTGTGTGAGTGTGTGTGTGTGTGTGTGTGTGTGTGTGTGTGTGTGTGTGTGTGTGTGTGTGTGTGTGCTGAAACTAGGGCTTAAACTCAAGGTCTGGGTGATGTCCCTAAGCTCTTTTTTGCTCAAGGCTAGCACTCTTCCTGAGACACAGCTCCACTTCCAGCTTTTTTTTTTTTTTGGTGGTTAATTGGAGATAAAAGCTTCATGGACTTTCCTACTGGGGTTGGCTCTGCACTGTGATCCTCAGATCTCAGCCTCCTGAGTAGCTAGCATTGCAAGCAGGATCCAACTTGTGCCAGGTGCCCCCCATTTCTTTCCATTGATATTCTGGGTTTGATTTGTTTGTTTTTGGTTTTATATTGTTTTGTTTTTCTTATCTGTTTCTAATCTATACTTGGGGCCCAGGACAGAGTCAGGCATGTGGGAGTTGCTTGCTATATGCTCACCAGTAACCAGATGTAGAAGTTGCATCTGTGTTGCTAGATTGTGGAAGCTAACTACATTTCTGAATGAAGCCAGAATGTCTTTATTGAAGAATGAAACACATATTTACAAGCTGGTCTCTGTGGTTTTATTAGTTTTCTGGGTCTCATCAAACAAACAAACAAATCCCTCTATTTTGATTCATCAAATCCTTTCATGAAAAAGAAATACTCAATTTTGAATTTAACATAATGTAAGGGGAAAGATGGCTGATTTAAAATTTAAAAAAAATGGCAGTAAGGTTGTTACCTATAACTTGTCAACCCAGAAGCCACACGGCCAGAAAAAGTAAGAATTACTCAAGATAGCTACAGAAAGATGAATTCCCATTGAGTGAAACTTGTGGAGACCTGCACAGTTGAAAAAACCCAACAGGTGTTTTTTTTTTGTTGTTGTTGTTTTCAAGACTGTCTATCTCTTATTCCTGATACTAAATACTGAAAGCCCAAAGTGAGGGTGACTCAGCTCTGGCACAAGCTTTGCTGTGAGGATCTACCATCCATAGTCAGTACCCATTCATCCCTGAGAACAGATCATACAAACTACTCATGAATCTGTTTCCCTCCTATGCATGTAGCAGGCCCTCAACAAATGTTACTTTTATTTTTTTATTTTATTATTTTGTGTGTGTGCTGGTACTGGGGCTTGAACTCAGAACCAGGATACTCTCCCTTAGCTTTGCACTCAAGGCTGGTGCTCTCTACCTCTTGAGCCACATCTCTACTTCTGGCATTCTGCTGGTTAATTGGAGATTAGGAACCTTTCTGCCCAGGGCTGGCTTTGAACCATAATCCTCAGATTTCAGCCTCCTGTGAAGCTAGGATTACAGGCTTCAGCCAATAGCACCTGGTTAACAAATGTTATTTGAAACTGCAGAAGAATAATTTGTTTCCTCTATGGTTTTACCTTTTCTTACATTTTATGTATCTGAAAAATAACACATTTGCAAAACTAAAATCAAACATGCATGGCTAACCTTATAAAAAAATCCCTCCATATTTTTCAAAAAGAAAAATTAAAAATACAAACCAACCCCCAAAGACTAAAACTTAGAACAAGTTTGTGCTTAAATAGCATCATATTAATTGACATCATACAAACACATTCACACTCTTCATTGGTCAAAATAAGTCAGGGATTCATTACTGGCATTTTGTACCAGGTAAGTCTCACAGTTTCAAGTAAGGCCATAAGTTCTCATCCAATGTACACTGACTGGTGGAACCAAACAGGCTATCTACCGTTTCTTTCAGCACAGGTAGGAAAGCAAAATAGTCTCACAGATAAATGTTCATAACAGATAATATGACCTTGAAGTTTTGAATGTTGAATTATTCCAGTAAAGAAATAATTCCTGTCTTAGTTACATGGCCTCCCATCTTCCAGAAGATACTCATTCATTAATTCAACAGATATTTGTTGTATACTCGTGGCATGCCAGGCACACAATAAAGGGAATATATGGTTGTTATCTTCAAAGAGCTTATAGTCTAGCAAGACAAGAAGGTGGAGAAAAAAAAATCAGTGGAGTCAGAGAAAAATTCATCAGCTGGGTCTGCCTTGCTTGGTGGCACGATGAAGAAGCTGTGGAACATGTCCCTGGGGCCCAAGGCCTTGCTCAAGTTTTTATCAAGACAAATAGGAACCTCAAATGAGCTGAGTCTTGAGAGCCCTTAGTAGATCATTCCCTGACTTAGGTTCCCGTTGAACTATGAGCCTGAATATTTAGAAGGGTTCAGGGTGACCAAGGTAGACTACTCAGAGCTTCTCAGAAGCTGTGTCCCTGTACATAAAGGGGAGTTTTCTGTACAACTCAGCTGCTTCAACATTGTAGAGAGACATATTCTGTGCACACTTTGTGTTGGCCTGGCCTAGTTACCCCGAGTTATCTAAGTCACAAACACCACATAGAAAACACAGCCAAGTGAAGCCAAGACAATAGAGAGTTATGCTGAGAACCTAATACTCCAGCCTACTGAAACAGGTGCTGGGGTCCAAGAAACTATCACCTTCAACTGCTTATCTGCTGAGCTGTTGTAGACACACCTACTCCCTAGCAAGGATTGCTCTTCCCTGAAAAGGAAGAGCCAAAGACCAACTGTAAGAGAAAGATCTCGACATCTTGAACAATGAACAGCTCAAGTTGGGGAAGGAAAGTCCTAGAGAGAACTGGCACATGCCTATCAACGCCTCACAGAATTCAGACAGACAGACAGACAGACAGACACACACACACACACACACTCACACACACACACACACACACACACACACACACACACACACTATGCCATTTCAAATACTGGATGTCTCATTCATTCTGTAATGTAGTTGGTGCGGAGAAGCTACATGATCCTGTATCTTTGGAAAACAACGTATGTGTTTGACACAGGAATCTGAGTTGTATAATCAAGATCTTTGCTGTTCATTACTCTTTTTCTCAGCTTCCTCAGTAAATGATACTTGATAACCCCAAGCCAAATCCTTGTGGAGGTAACCAAGCCAGTTAGAAAATGATCTTAGTTATAATATTAGAAGAAGTTTGGACACATCCATAATGGCCATCATTATAATTAAGATAAATTTGGAAGTTTTATTTCTAGCCCTCTAAATACATTACAAGCACTTCACAAGGGGCTCTCTCTATTGGACAAACACCCTCATTCCTTCCTATATCCCCATATTATTGTTCAAGATAGTGAAGCAGGAGAGAGGATAGTAAAGAACATGAGAGAACCAAAAAGAAAAGTTGCAAAAGGGATGCAGATATTCAGACTCAGTTTTCAAAGTGTCTACAGACTCACATTCCTCCCAGCTCACATGGACCAGTGATAAGTTTTCAGGTTTTCAAGAAAAATCCCACTATGAAGAATACACACCCAATGCTTATCCCCTGAACATTTCTGGGTTCTCTCTCCCTTTTTCTATCTTTCCTTCATTTTCTTTTTCTTTTCATACTAACATTCCTCTGAGTGTAAATGTAGGCAATATACCTCCAAATGAAACAGGAGGGAAGAATTAACACCTGTGAACAGTTTTCCTTGGAGATCTCTATGTCTCTGTGTCTTGTCTCTCTCTGTATGTCTCTCTCTCTCTCATTTTCTCTCATTCTCTCTCTCTCCCTCTCTCTCTCACACACACGCACACACACACGCACACACACACATACACACACACACATACACAGTCTTTTCCAGCATTTCCCTCTGCAATGAAATCTTTGCTGTGCTTTGGGTTCTAGCGCAAATGTCTTCTACTGTAGTTCTTGCTGCATTGCTGTGTTTAATTTATCTGACTTTAGTTCCCATCTGGGGTTCTGGAAAAAAAATTCCTATAGAGGGTTCAACCTACTATCCTTAGTGAGTTGACTTTAAGGTCTTACTTTTGCTTTATTGTAGGGACTAAAAAATTTGATAACCTTTTTTCCCTCTGAGACATCACTATGTATTTTCATCTGGACTGGATAAATCAGCAGTTCTCAATCAAGGACAGTTTTGCCCCTTTAGAGATACTGGGAGCTGTCAGGAATGTGTTTGATTACTGTAATGGGAAAGTGCTGTGGATATGTAGTTGATGGAGGTCAGGGGCACTGATGTGCATCTTATAGTACACAGTACATTCCTCAGCACAAAGACTGACAATCAAAAATGTCAGCTGTGCCAGTTAAGAAACCACAAATACAGAGATACAAAAGCAAACTTATCAGCCATTCACCAACTCCTTCCCACTTACTTTCAAACAGTTGAAATAAAAATAATCAAGGCTGGGTTCTCTCTTAAATAACTAGAAGTGGGCAGGTGTGGCAACTGAAGATTTTTTTTGTTTGTTTGTTTTTAGCAACCATCCAAGAGGAAGGTGAAACAAGTAAATCAATCCTGAATGAGTATAAGTCCCCTACTCCCCATACACCATTATTCTTGTCACTGATTAAAATATTTCAGCCCGCCCTGGATGTTGAAAGTTCCCATTCTCTACTCACTGGCTCCAAAAGTCACATTAAAGTTCACAGCACCCTTTCTGTGGATCCCATCTGTCTTGACCCTGGATCTCACCATAGCAACCATACCCAGCTCTCTTGACAAGGTCATTATGGATGCCATGTGCAGAAGACCCATCAATTTTTTCTAACTCATTGTGCATAGGAAAACATTTTAATGCCCTCTGATTTCCTTTTTCTCTCTCTTAGTAAGAAGTCCAGGGCTACCAGTCCTGTTATTCTTGAACTTCACATGAGGCAAATACAAATCATGACCACATACAGTGTCATATCTCACAGACAACTGTGTACGTGTGTTCCCCGTACAGGACATACAGTAACAAAATAATTTCTTTTATCAACTGTAGTGTTCTTTCTTTCTGTTAGAAGTAGATTTTTCCCCCCTCATGGTACATAAATATCAGAGAAAAGCAGTCTTTGAAATATTTATGTCCAGGAGTTCTTCCTTGCTTAGTATATTCATTTGGTGTGTGCTTTTGGTCTGTGTTCCAAGGATAGGCAGACTCAATTTTCATTTTCTCTCCATCCACGAGCATTCTTCCCAAACTTATATACTAGCCGTCGTCCATCCACACGTTCCAGGATTTCTCGTTTGTAGTAATATCTGCAACAAAGGAAATTTCCATAAGGTGGCTGTTCAGATACACAGCTCTGGTGTGAGGCATAGCCATGTGGGGAGACAAAAAACCCGGCTCACCTCATGGCCCGGCTGAGTTTCTCATAGGTCATGCTACTGTTGTTTTTCTTCTTCCCCCACAGTTGAGCCACTGCCTCTGACTTCAAGAACCTGAAGACGCCCTCAGAGCGGTCTTCCCACTTGATGAGCCCTGGATTTTTGTCAGGGTTCAGGAGAATGTCACGGATGAACTCCCATAAATGTGTACCTCTTGGGTCTGATGAGAAGAAGGAAAAAAAAGTGGCCTAAGTTACTACAAAGAAAAGTCAGAGGGAATACCAAGTTATTTCTTCACTGAGCTACCAAATTTGTCCTAGCCCTCAGAGAGAAGGATGGCAGAACCACCAAATACCAGATGATTTAAAAAATGAACGAACAAAAAGCAGTTGAGGATGAATAATTTACACTTTTTTTTTAGTTTTACAAATGAAGACATTGAGGTATGGAGAATTTAAGTATCTTCACCAACCTCACACAGTCAACTACTGGCAAAGCTGAGACCAAGAGATATGTCTCAGTCTTTAAATGAGGAAGAATTTCTCCTAGTTATCATTTACTATTGCTTGGACTTCATGTCAATGTGTTGCTTCTGCTGGAAGCGACTTCCAACCTCTTCTATTTAGTTCCTCACCCAATGACACAGCTCCAACTAGTAACCCTGCTGTGGCCAAATGCACACGAGTATGGCTGCAGAATCTTTTAAACTACATGGAAAGTTGGGGGGTAAATGTAGATAATACAAAGATAAAGGGACACTCAATTGGTGATTAAGCAGCTAGTGAAATGAGATCGGCAACCAAAGTTTCATTTGACTGCTCAGAAGCATGTCAAGGGGCTGCATCAATTCTTTTTCATAGAATGACTTAGAACAGCATTCAGCCAAAGATAACAAATTCCCAATCTTTTCTGCATTATGGACATTATGTCTTCTACATTTTCAGTTTCAGTTTATGGCCTCTTCAGTTCTATATTTCTTCTAGATTTAAAAGGTTTTATGGTGGAGGAACTCCAACTCCCAAAGAGCTATATTGAATCATCAACAAAAGCAATTCTTTCTTGGAACAGGAACTCACAAAGGCCAATGATCAGCCACAGAAAGAACCATGCAGCTCAGCTGTTTCTTGCCATCTGCTCCTCTATTCCTTCTTTTTTTTTCAGAGGGTAGAGGCATGTGGACAACTCTGGCCCTCAAGGGTCCTCATCTTTGGACAAATATGACAAAGGAGGAGGAACTAGCTGATGAACTGAGTGTCTGTGTCCCATTTTGAGAAACCACTGCACATGGAGTTTATTTGGCCACAGGAAAAAATGAGGCCTCAATTTTCTCCCCCAACCCAATCAGAGTGAAGAAATGGTAACAGAAGGAAGAGGCAATTTTTGCCTAAGAACCAGTTTCTCTAGTTCTGCCTAACAGGAAGAGAAGAGCCAAAAGGTAAATGGAAGAGGATCTTACTGTGCTTTTTGGTGTGGGCCTTTGCAGGGTGATCTTGCTCCTTTTTCATATCCAGTGACTCTGCTTAGGAGGAAAAAGAAATGAGAATGGTTCCATTTATCCATTTCCTAACAACATGTATTGGATACTTACTGTATGTCTGGCACTGTCGCTATGTGGTAGTAAACCAAACCAAACATAATAAAAATTATGGAGAAAAATAATGCAGGGTAAAATAAATAGCAATAGAAGTATAAAGGTGTGGATAATTTGTAATTTAATACGAGGTAGTCACAGACAAGCTCTCTGACAGAGACCTATTCCACAGACCATGCAGAAAGCTTGTGAAAGAGACTTCTATAGGTGAGGATGGTTAAATGCAAGAGCCTTGAGGTCAGTATGTGTTTAATCCAGAAGCAAAGTGGGGGAAGCTCCCATCACTGAATATGTTCTAAGACTTAATTTTAAGGACTTTATTCTGAGAGAAATAGGGAACCACTAAAGGACTGAGCTTACTAGAAAATGTTTTTACATAATATAAGAATGTAAACATTTACAATGAAGAAAGATGGCTTTGGAGCCAGAGAAGTACCTTTTTTTTTTTTTTTTTTTTTTTTTTTTGGCATGCAAAGTTACATTTTAATCATGCTGACAAAGAGGCCATTGAATGATTAGAGCTGGGCACAGAGAGCCACAGTAGACTATGGAAACACAGATTAGTTTAACAAATGACTCATTATGGCCACCTTTTCACTATCCCCAAAGAGCAGGTGACAGAGGCAGACCTAGGCGGTTAAAAGCCTTCTTCAACAAAACCAATGTCTGGTGTTACCTGTCCTCAGTCATAGCAGAAAGCCAAAAGGTCCACTCTCACTGGAGCAGAGGGAGAATGGTGATTCTCATGGGCTAAGAAGGGGAGGGGAGGGACAAGGAGAGAGGCTGAGAGATGGGCAGCAAAATGCAGTTCCACAGGACTAGTAAGTTTGGGTCTTCTGTGGCACAGCAGGGTGACAATTATTCACAAGTTAAGATTCTTATAAAGAACTAGAAGAAAGAGCTTCCAAGGCTCCCAACACAAAGAAATGATAGGGATCTTAAATTGCTCTGACTTGATCATGGCATATTATATACACGTATCAAATTATCATACTGTTGCCCATAAATATATTCATTTATTAACCAGGCACAATTGTGCACACGTATAATCCCAACACTCTGGAAGCTGAGATAAGTGGATCACAAATACGAAGACAGGCTGGGATACACACTGAGAACGTGTCTCAGAAAACAAAAAGTTTAACTATTGTATCAGTTAAAGAGCAAAAGGAACCCAAATGATCTAGCTCTGTGTGTGTGTTGGGGGGCGAGGGGATCTCACAGAGGGCACTGGGAATGTTGTGAGAACCAAGGTAAATCTTAAAAACACATATTCCTAACTAGCCAATTTTAAAACAAAGTACTCCTTAAACACAAGTCAATGTTTTCAAGAGAAATGGCCAGGAAAACCTATCTCTTCCATGAACATTTTATCAGGACTTCCTAACCTGGGGCTCGTTGACCATGTGTGGATCTAAAAACATACTAGACTAAAGCTGGGTACTAAGCAAGGGATCACAATTGTTTGAATTGGTCCCTTATTCAAAACAGTGCACAAACCACTCATTTAAATAGAGAACATATCAAGTGCCCGGCACTGTCCTACTAAGCACTTTCCATGAACTATCTTAGATAACCCTATCAGATTGGCCCTCTGTAATCCATAGTTAGCAGCCATGGGAGATTTGGGAAGTAGAGAGGTCAGATGACTAGTCTGTAGTCCCAACAGCCTGATGTCCAGATGTGAACACAAAGAGCTTAAATCCAGAGGCTTTATTCATTATGGTTATTCTATGCCATTTCCAAAGATAAAAGCCTAGACTCTATCACAATAGATTTGACCTAATTTTGAGATTAATGATTGTGTATTCCCCAATGCGCATGGATCCACTTCTCCATGTGATCTGATTACCCAGCAACTCCTAACATTTTCTCCAAAAGCTGTGGTACAATGGAGAAGAGGAATTGAGAAAGACCTGGCTAGAGAAAAATGCTCTTGTTCTGGTTGAGAATTTTTTCTCTTGGCATCGTCACCGGGATGGCCTGCACCCTACTTGGGTTACCCTGAAATCTCGAAGGACAAATTCACAGGAAATGCAAGGAGACGTCACTCTCCCTCCCTGCAGGTTGCAGGGAGAGGTTGCGACACCCCATCAGGATGTGACAATATTGCAACAGCTCTGGCACCCACCCCGGTTTCCAAGCGATACATCACCTTGTCAGGGCCATGTTGTCCTGAAGACAAAGGGTGGCATTTACCCAGCAGGCCACAAGCAAAGCTCATTTTCAAATGGTATCCAGGAGGGGACAGAACCATTATTTCAGAGCCAGGATTGAATTCAGAAAAAGCCAGGTGTCTCTCAGCATCTTGGCTTTGGTCATTGTTTGTAAGCTCCAAACTGATGCAGAACCATTTGCCTTGGAGTTATCTTTTGTGAATAGGGTGAGAACCTTAGACATCGTCTCCTTGAAACTGCATATATGTGTACAATCATGATATTGTGACAGTCATTTCAGAGGTCATGGCCCATTGAAGTATTTGTGAGCTGTAAATAAACCGTGGGGCAGTTTGGCTTTTTTTTTTTTTTTTTTTCATTGAGATGTCAGTTACCCCAGCTAGATCTCCATCCAGCTTGGGAAAGATTTTCTTTAAGAAACAACAACAACAAAATCTTCCAATCAAAATCTCTTATCATCATATGGCAAAAAGAAAGATCTCCTGTCTTCTCCTCTTCTTCTCCTAATGTGCAGGGACAAGGCACAGAATCCCTGACCTGCTTTGGCATTGAAATCTTCTGATCTACATTCTCACTTTAAAACAACTAGCCACTAGCCATGTTGTATGAAAGGAGAGAAGGTTAGCCCTCTCCTTGACAAGAGTGAAGGCCCTTGAGCCTGACAACACTCATAGGGTTAAGGCATTGCCACCTACTTTGTGGCATCTAATCATCATTTTTCACTAGACACTGTTGAAAATGAACTTTACAATGGGGTGGGAGGGGCAGGGAACAGGAGAAAACAAGGGAGGGGATGACAATGTTGGAAAAGAAACGTACTCAGTACCTTACTTATGTTAACTGTAACCTCTCTGTATATCACCTTTAATTAAATTTAAAAATTAAATGAAAACACTAAATTTCCCCCAAAGGAAAACAAAAAAACAAAAACAACTAGCCTTTCTCTCTTCTTCTGTCCTCCCTACTGCCACAAAATAAAGCCAGGCCTTTGAAGTTAGCCATGTGGTTGATGATTCATTGTTATAAAATAATGTCTAACTCAGGGGAGGCTGTCCATTCTGGCTTTCTCTTGTTCTCCTTCTAAGAGCTCTAGGTCAAGGTTCACGGGGTCCAGGTAGGGAAAATTAAGAAGCCACGGGTTCAACATGCAGGTGTAAAGGCATGACTTCAGCTAAGCTGCTTCTAGAGAAGCAAAGATTAGAAATATTTGCATATGATTCATCTATGAGCCATTTCTTTACGGGATATACAAATTTTGGTGTTCTAATAGACTGTGCCACCCTAGCTGGAGGCTCAAGTCAGTAGATAAACACATCAAGCCTGAGTTCACTTGTACTGGCTGCAGGACCCAGGAGCAGATGAGAACCCTGGCAGGAACCATTTTATGAACTGGTCGATGACAGGGAAATCAAAACAAAACCCGCTTCCCACCTGTGCTATCTCAGAGGCCATCGGTTTACAGGAAACCTCACCTTAGCTTGAACTTGAACTTGCACTAAAATATAGCAAGAAACTTAACTACATTATTTTATGAGAGGTTGTGATGGAAAGACTTGGACACATGGCAAAGGTCTTTTGGAGAATTCTGGTCCCATCTAGGAGAGACTAAACAATTCTGGAATGAATTGGCCCATACTAGTTGGTAAGTAATATCCTACTGAAGGGTTGTTCCTTCACAAAATTTATCAACTGTTGACACTGCTGACACTTTGATCTCATAATCTAACTTGCTATAATCACAAGAGGAAATGGGGAACAGAGAACAAGGGTACAGGAAAATCTGAGTGAGAATATTCACACAGCTGGTTCAATGTGAAAATTCAGTAGGTAGACTCATGTACCAAGTAGACACTGGGTTCTTTGTGACTATAAATATACAAGTAGAAACCAGTCCCTAAAACTCCCCATTAAGTCTGAGATTCCAGAAGGCCTAAATGTTTCAGTGAAGTCCCAGAACAGGTAAAGATGACCTGGCAGAGTCAACAGAGTTCAGAACTGTTCAGATTTATCCAGGAGGCTCCAGACCTAGCAACCCCTGAGGCTTGGGAAGTACTTGGTTTCACTTTATTCTTGGTTGGAATCTTCTGCCCCAGGCAGAAAGAAGCTTCCACTGGGAAGCGTGAAAAGTGACACCTGAGGAAGTTCCACAGGAAGTCAGAGGGGGACCCAGTGGCTTCCTCCACCCAGAAGTCCTTAGTGTTGACTGGGTGGCAATGACTGCCACAGAAATTTTATCCGATGCACTGTTCCTCCAGTGTCAAAGATACAGCAGGGAGGTCGCAGTGTTTGCTCTGTTTCCTGATCTCCCAGTGATACAGGGTGTGAAGGGTTGCTGGAGGGAGAGGGATGCCAAGAAAAGAACTGGCTCTGCATCTCAACCTTAACTCCAGGAGCATTTACACTGGCATCTAGCCCTGTCTCCTGCAGCGGGCTTGACCTCAAACAAATCTCAAACCAAAAGGCTTTGGTTATTTCCATTCTGAAAAACACAAACTCCACAAAGGAAAAAAAAAAAAGGATCATTGCTTAATTCCATGCTTTCTTTCACCAAAATACATTTAAATACCAGTTCTGAAGTTTCCCAAATTCAATTCCTAGAGAAGAGTCATTTCCCTGGAGGGAAGTTGATATGTAAAGTCCATTTCTAAGACCTAAGGCGTCCCAGAACTTTATGCTCAGGTCAAAGGACAACTCAAAACCTTGTATTTAATCCTTATACTGTACATGCAACTTTACCTATTGTCTGAAATTCCTTTCTCAGACCCAAAATGGGCCAACTCTATCATTTGCTACAACAGTAACTGAGTATCTTGAATCCAATCTGAACCAAATACAGCTCATTATGAGCATAATTCATATGGTGCAGGCTCATCAGAATTAGACTTTAAAACTGGGGTTGAGGAGGAGAGGAAAGTAAAGGAGAGAAGAAGGATTCAAGGATTCCTGAAAGTTCCAGAACCCGTCACTACAGGTTCACTGTTCTCTGGATCCATTGTCAAATATTCTTTGTCTAAAGTCAAATGTAACTGGTATGTGAATGCTGATGAAAATCAAATATAGGCTATTGTCCCATCCATACAAATAATTTTATCAAATCGATCCCAAGAGTTATTGTTGTTTTCGTTAAAAAAAAGTGGAAAACACAAACAACTTTAGTTGTCACAAGGGTGACTGCTTCACACGAGACAAACATTTGTCCTAGAGAAATCCCAAAGATTATCATGTTTAAATTTACACTATTACAGTATACATATTGGCTCCAAAGCACACCTATTCAGACAAATTAGAACCCACTTCCTTCCCTAGCCATTTCATGAGAAGGAAAGTAGTGTGTTGACAGTTCTCACTCTTTCTCGGGATGCATTAGGCTATTTTAGCTTCAGATGTCAGAAACTTACCCATAGGAAGGTGACCGCTGGTTGCCATGGAGATCTGGGCCCGGCAGAAAGATTTGCTATCCAACAAATCTGCAGCATGAACAAATAGGGGATGGGAAGAATACCCTCCTGTAACACAACACCTTGGCAATGAGAGAGAATAACAGCACTACAGGGTTTTCAGGTCTGGGGAGTTAGTTACCTACTGTGCTACCATAGTTGGTGTCGTATAAATAGTTTTCTTCTTTCCAGGTATTCATGACGGAAGGATCTACAAGGAATAGAAAATGGGGAATGTCAACCTCCATTGCCCCAGGATGAAGACCTCCCTATTCTAAATCTCTGCTCATCAAAAAGATATCAAAAAGTAATGTAGTCAGGTGCTGGTGGCTCATGCCTATCCTACCTACTTAGGAGACTGAGATCTGAGGATCAAAGTTCAAAGCTAGCCTAGTCAGGAAAGTCCCTGAGATTCTTTTATTTATTTATATATATTTTTTGTTGGTCCTGGGGCTTGAATTCTGGGCCTGGGCGCTGTCCCTTTGCTCTTCAGCTCAAGGCAAGTGCTCTACCACTTGAGCGACAGAGCCTCTTCCAGTTTTCTAGTGGCTTATTGGAGATAGGAATCTCATGGCCTTTCCTGCCTGGGCTGGCTTTGAACCCTGATCCTCAGATCTCAGCCTCTTGAATAGCTAGGATTACAGGCGTGACCCATTGGCGCCCAGCCCCTCCAGGAGATTCTTATCTCCAATTGATCACAGGAAAAAAAAAAACAAAACAGAAATGGTGCGGTGGCTCAAGTGTTAGAGTGTTAGCCTTGAGCAAAAGAAGCCCAGGGACAGTGCCCAGGCCCAGAGTTCAAGCCCCAGGACTGGCAAAAAAAAGAAGAAAGAAGAAAGGAAAGAAAGAAAGAGAGAGAGAAAGAGAGGGAGGGAAGGAGGGAGGGAGGGAGGAAGGAAGGAAGGAAGAGAAACTTAATACCTGACTTATGTAACTGTAACCCCTCTGTATATCACCTTTACAGTTGAAAAAATAAAAAGGTATCAGAAAGGCATGGGTTAGGAGAAGGCCCTTGGAGAGAAGGGACGAGAGATTGCTTTGGTTCAGGTTACTTTAGAAAAATGCAATCTTATTTTCCCCCCAGCATCTTGGGGAAAAAAGCTGAAGCCCACTCCTGTCCTTGTGACCGATGTCTATCACGTTTTTTTCAGGGAAATGAGATTTTTCTTTTACAACAAAGAAATCCTGTCTTAGAACAATGTTTTTTTTCCCCCTAGGAATTTTTCTAGCCTGCCTTAGATTTTTCTTACATTCTACTATAATATCTCCAAAATACTTTTACCCTTGGGTAAGGAGAATGCCTTGTTTAGGACAAATAAATCTATAATAAATGGTTAATGGACACATTTTTTTTATAACTACCTTCCTGAGAGAATTGATACTGTTGCTCTCAGAAAAGGCTCTATTAATCCTGTTTCCCTTCATTGCTAAAATTCTAAGAGTCCCCTAAGTTGGGTGACAGGTCCCCTTGTTTTAGGATCTCTCCAATTAGCTTATAATATTCTCAAAGCAAAACCAGCAAGAAGAAAGAGAGCGTTACAAAGTCAAACAAACAGCTTTGATGAGTGGGGCCCATTGCCTCATCTCTGGGATAAAGAAATACTGGCTCCCTGGCTCACTGTTCATTCTCGCGCTTGCTTTGTAAGCATACCTCACTCCAAACATTTCAGATCAGAAGGGAACTCCCCTCCGCCTACCCTAAACGAAGTCCAAACTCCCACATAACCCCCTAGCCTCTGTCATAAGCATTTTTTTAATGAATGGTCAAGAGCTCTAAGATTTCTTACCTTGTCTACCCTCCTCCAAAACTTCCTGCCTTCCCTTACCCCGAGATGTATGCTGCCTTCCTGCCCAGGATCTGAGGTTGAGAGCTAAAATGACAAGCCACTGGCCCAGTTTCATTTTGTTTTTATAGCATAAATTGTATAAAACCTGACTCACTGCCTAAGTCTTCTTGTTTACGACATAGGGATTTAGCTGGTATTTTACCTAATAGATAGATACATGTTTGGACACCCCAAGCCCAGTCTCCTGGAGTTACACCCTCTCTCTTCATTGGGTCATCTCATACACCTGTTGTCTCTGAAAACAAACCAAACCAAAGAGGTTTGGGGGTGTTGGCCCCTCCATGAGCCTCTTCTCCTCTCCTTCCAGGGTGGGTCTTCCATCTCCACCCTTGAGCTTAGCTTTTCTGAACTGGCAACACAAGAATGTCTAGATGGTCAAGGGGAATTATTGAGTTCTGCAGAACCTCTCCAATATCACCCTGGCTCCCCAAGGGAGGCTATCTACCAGGTGAAGGCCATTCTCTTAGGCAAGCCCTGTGTCTATCTCCAGAGGTAGAGCAGACCTACAAATCAAAGACTATCCAGGTCTATCCCCTAGACTCTAGGGACCAGGGCAGGGCTAGGAAGGACTAATTAAATGCTTCCAAGATATTGGTGTTTTTTTTTTCCTTTAATAATGGTAGACCAGTCTCCTTATTAAAGAGGAAATAACTGCATGGGCTAATTTTGGTGCCAAATGACTCGCAAATCACCCTCTGGTCAAATTCTGTCCTAAGTAACTGGTACACCACCTTCAGGGAGGCTGGTGGCCAAGTTGATCAGGCCACATGGCTCCAAACCTCCCTGATATAGACATAGGGAGTGACCCAGGAGCAGTTGCTCTTACACATAAGGATTAGGGGACCGTTTCCATGAGTTAGGACAGAAGAGAGGAATAAACACAAAAGTAGATACTGTGAGAGTGTAGACTTGTTGAGAACCCAGTACAGTACCTGTCATGTGAAAATATGCTAAAAGCAAGAACTGGGTTCCAAGGTAACTTGAGCAAATGGGTAGGGTTGAGAGAGATGGGAGAGAAAAGTGGCGAGGGTGGCATTGATCAAGATACATTATACTCATAAACTGACGCGTTGAATTGGAATCCTTTTTTTTACAACTACTTAAAAATAAAAAGAGCCAGGCGCTAGTGACTCACACCTGTAATCCTAGCTACACAGGAAGCCTGGGCAGGAAAGTCCCGTGAGACTCTTATCTCCAATTTTAGCACCAGAAAACCAAAAGTGGTGCTGTGGCTCAAGTGGTAGACCATTTGCCTTGAGCTGAAGAGCTCAGGGACAATGCCTAGGTCCAAAGTTCAAGCCCCATGACCAAAAACAAAAAAGATAAAAAGAATTGGGTTCCTAAGAAATGTACTCATTACCTTGCTCCTGTGAGTGTAACCCCTCTGTACAGTATTTTCACAATAAAAAACGTATTTAAAAAGAAAAAAAGAATTGGGTTCCTTAGCTGCTTTGAGACATCCCAATGAAAATTCCCTAAAGCCCCAGAAACCATGCAAAGTACACCACCAGCTCAGCATCTCCCTTCTTCCTTCTTGTAAGCACATGCCTTGCTAAGCAAGGAAAGCGAATGGTCATTGACTCTCTCTGTCTCTCTGTCTCTGTCTCTCTGTCTCTGTCTCTCTTGCTCCCTCTCTATCTATCCCTTCCTGCCTCACTCACTTTCCCTCACTCTTCTGACCTTAGCCACATCCACTCCCTTTCTTTTGCTAGTGATGAGGTCCATCTTAAATTCCACATTCTTCCAGTCATCTGTTTAGACTTTGAACATTGCCCTGAACAGTGGGCAGAAGGAAAGAAGTATGGGAAGAAACGATGCTTACCATTGGTCTATGCCTCATGAAGATCACTGGTTCCAGGACAAGAAGAGAGGCTCATGGTATAGTGACCCATTGGAGAAAGGAAAGAAAAAGGCCTTCTCGGGTTTCCTGCCAAAACCTACTCCCACACTATCCCTTAAGACTCCCTCCTGATTGTTTTCCCCAGGGTCTAACCTGGCTAAGTTGACTCCCTTCATCTCTCATACTCACCGGTTTGTTCAGCCTTGACGATGACATTGTGTGGAGACTGGAACAGGTCACTGCTGCACTGGCCTGTGAAGGATAGAATGGGAATGTCAGGGAGGGCCCGGCTGGAGCCAAACCTTGGTGCTTCAGGAAGGTCATAGTTGGCTTTTTCAAAAAGCTTCTGCCTTTTCACAACCTAGCTAACCATGTTCGCTTTGTAAGGAGGAGGGGGGTGGGACTTCCCTCTTTACTCTTCACACTCAAGCCTGGACACTGTCCCTAACACCAGAGAATCACTATATAATCACAAATAATTCCAAATGGAATTATTTGGCATTGTGGAGGAAAGACATCCAGTATGGTGGACATACAATATTCAGTGAAAGAGACCAGTTTTTCCATTGCTATCTAAGAGGTCTCAATTTCCTCATCTGCATATTTAGGGGATCAAATTAAACAGTCACTAGATAGCCTCCATGGTACTTTCCCATACTAAGACATGATGTGAAATGGAAGCAAAGATAAAGGGGACGCTATTTCAATTTAGCTAGCTTGATTCTTCGTTAACCTTAAACTTACTCAACCAATTTGGATTACATTCAGCCCATGAGATACATCTGGATAACAGGCAATGAGCTTTCTTTTATTTATGTCAGATATCCTTGGGTTTTTCTGACAACCCCTCTCGTATTATATGGTATCCAATATACATACACATGAATGGATCTAAAATGGTTTCCTCGTCCCAGACAGATCATCAACATTTCAGGTGTGGAGGTCATGTACTAATCTTTTGACCTCTTGTGTTTTCCATCTGTAAAATGGATATACAGCATGTATTCCATTACAAGGTCATTAAATGAATTGATTTGCTGGAAATGAATAGATGTAAATACTCAATAACTTTAAGTTAAACTACAAAAAAAATCAAACCAGGAAACAAAGGTGAGAAACCTTGCCCATTAGGCATCAGAGGTAACAGCAGCAGCCTGAGGTGGGACCACACAAGTCATGTAAGGTCAAAGGTGGCCACCACCACATCTCTCAGGCCTCTGAGCCTCAGGCTCAATCAGGGCAAAGCTTTAAAGAAGTGGGACTTAATTGGAGGTGGGAAGGTAAATGCTCTGAATTCTTTAAGTTTAACGCTGCTCTTTCTGAAGTTTCAGGGAATGGAGGTAGGAGCTATTTATAGACTTTTGTTTGGTTTGGTTCTAGTAAAAGAGAAATGAGCAACCACTGTGGTAAGGTAGTGGGAAGAAGGGAGTGCCAAGGTGCTGACTGACATCATCCAAAATGGCCGCCACAGCTGCCATTCCATAGCCAGCCTACCAGGTCATCATGTTGATGGCAGCTGCCAGGGTCTGGCTTTGGCTTTCAGCCCTCCTGCTCAAATTGCCTCAACCCTAGATACTTGCCCAAACATAGCTTCTGCTAGGATATAAAGGCCTTTCTCAACATGGACAATCAGCTGAGAATCTTTAAACATGCCTGCTTTCCTGGATTCAAGGAGCAGGTAGAGTCCCATGCCAGTGTCAAAGGCATTATGCATGGTAAGTTGGGTCTTCCCAAGTCAGTCTAGAGTATGTGTGGACACTATTGATGTGTGATGGACAGAGTTTGCAGGGATGCCTGTCTGGGAAGCCTTGAGAGATATTTGAGGTATGACAGCTTCAATTACAGAAGTCACTATACAAACATTCCAGGTGTCCAAACTGCTTGTTCAAAATCTGTTCTCTCCCTCCCCCCCCCCCACTTTCTTTCTTCCTTTCCCTTCCTTCCTTCTCTTATCTTTTTTTCTTGCTTTCCTTTTTGTTTCTTTCTTTGTCATGTAATTTTTAAAATCTTCCAATCTTCCAACTGGAGTTGGAGATTTAAACTCAGAAGGTCCCGAGTTTGTCAGCTCTTAAAAAAAAAAAAAAATCTTCCAAAAAAAAGGTGACTATTCTCCTTTCTCAACCACACAAATCCAATTTCACATATTTTCTTACTTCCCCCAAACCTCCATTTTAAGAACCTATATCTAGACCAAGTGTGGTGGCATGTAATTGTAATTACATCCATTGGGTGTTGAGAGTTTGAAGTCAGCCTGAGCTATATAGCTAGACCTTGTCTGAAAGAAAAAAAAAAAGAAATTAAAAAGCAAACAAATGCTAGGTTTAGATTGCTTTTTAAATCATTTTTAAATCATTTTTAAAAATGATTTTTAATGAGTAAATGACTGAAAACTTTTACATTTAGCAAATGTAAAAGAAATGTCTGTGTTGGAATAGTAAACCCAGTCAGGCCTTGTGTCTCTGGAAATGAATATCACCCTAAGGAGTGATCATCAGGGATTAGACACACTTCCTATCCTAGCCCTTGCTCCTTCCTCTCACCTCCCTTCTCAATCCCTGTCTTGGAAAAAGTTCATTCTCAGTGAAACCATCTTTTGTCCTTCCTGATAAGGACCCTATCCAGCTGCAGAGCCTCTGCACTTCCTGGCCACCTCTCACCATTCCACTTGAGATGTTGAAGGTTGCTGTAGAGCAGCTGTCCAGCTGTGCCCGCTGCCCGCGTGAACTCCTGAAGACTCATGCTGCACAGGTGTTCGCCATTGATGTCAAACTCCTGGAAGGGGATGCAGCTGGCATCCAGCTGGTTGGTGTCCAGGAGATGTTGGAGCCACTCCCATACCTGGTACTTGGTCCAGTACTGGGGGTGTATTTCATGCCACTGGCCTCCAAAAAACCCACTGGAAACTGCAAAAGAGGAGGCCCCGTGAGTAGCCATTCCTGGGCATAACTTTTACACATGGAGAGGCATTGCTGGGTATCAGATGTCATGAGGAACTCAATCTGTGTGTGTCACTGTGGAGGCTGGAACATGAGCTAAGCTCTGGAAAAGAGGTTCTTTCCCCCAATTGTTGTGGGATGATCATTTACCTCTGCATCTTCATGTCCTCTCTAGCATGATACTTATCCTTGGGCATGAGGTAAGGACTGGAAGTGCTCTATGTTCATGGCCCTCTCCCAGACTATAGTATAAAAACTAAGGCACTGATACTGTTTCAGTCGCTTGTGAGCTTGTTATCTACACCCAAACACAGTCATCCCTCAATGAGTATGGTGGATTGTTTTCAGGAATCCTTGTAGACCAAAACCTGGGGCCATTCGACTCCCCATGCAAAATAGTGTAGTATTTGTAGAGTACGTGTTATGGATCCTCTCAGACTTCAAATCATCTGTAGATGATGCGCCATCCCTAACACAATGACAATACCAGGGAAATGGCTGTTATTTTAGAAGGGACGATGAGAGAAAAAAAGCCTGTATATACATGGTGCCAACAACCATTGTTGTCTTGCTACATTTTTTAACCTGGGGCTAGTTAAAGCTATAGATACACTACCCTGGGATACAGAAGACCTGTAGCTCTTCTTCTCTGGCTTTTATCTGTTTATGTCTCTTTCACACATACCACAAAGAAACACACATATACTCACATATTTCACATTATTTCTACCCCAAACTCAGACCATTTGCAACCACATCTGAGATCTGAAATGAAGATCCTAATGTAGTCCAGATTATTCCAGAACTAACCATGGTGCTATCTCACTGCCCCACTGATTACTATAGCAACCTGACACCACTACCCTACTCAGTTACCTTCAATATCTTCCCCAGTATCCACTAAATAAGATACAGGACTGCCAAGCCAGTTTTGGAGACTCTTAGCTAACTTCTTCAAGTAATCTGACTTTTGTCTTTTATCTGTGCTGCTCGTTAAGCCCTCTTTGTGTTCTACTTCCTAGTCTAGTTGAATTCCTACCTGTCTCCCAAAGTCTGAAAGGTCATCAAGTGATCACTACTTCTCCTAACCTACTTGGATGGATCCAAGGAAATATGCCTGGGATTTCTCCTAATGGCTTCTATCACGTTCTGCTTGTCTTTACTGATCCCTAAATCCTGGTTAACTCATCCTCATATCAGCATTAAAAACTTCCTTAAAGGCCTTCTATTACAGGGACTCACTACATGTTAATTCCACTACATGTTTTGCACAAGAAAAATAATGCAGGGGGCTGGGAAGGCGGCTCAGTGGTAGAGCGCTTGCCTTGCCGCTTGCCTTGCATGCGTGAGGCCCTGGGTTCGATTCCTCAGCACCACATAAGCAAAACGAAAAAAGCCGGAAGTGGCGCTATGGCTCAAGTGTTAGAGCGCTAGCCTTGAGCTGAAGAGCTGAGGGACAGTGCCCAGGCCCAGAGTTCAGACCCCACGACTGGACCCAAAAAAAAAGAAAAGAAAAGAAAAATAATGCAGGATTTTGGAAGCACCTTGAGCTGCATCCATGAGATTATTAAGTCAGATGCCAGCAAAGAACTGAAGTTCATTTAAATCAATAAACACTGCTGGGCTTATAGTGTGGTAATTATCTATATTTATTTCTATGTATCTCTTACACTCACTTAAAAGAATACTACTGTCAGCCCTAAGCCATGGGAATAGGGCTGAGAGGAAAGAGCCAGCCCTGGGGCTAAGTTATGGGACTGAGAGTTCTTACAGTGACTTCTAAACGCAAATCAACAAAAGGAGCTCTCTTTCAAGAAAAGCAAGGACTAGGTCAAGGACACGTGCACTGTATCCCCTACCAAGCTGAAGTAGGGGAAGTGCCATTGGACATGGCACAGACTCAAGATGTGGACCAGAGAAGGAAAGGTATTTGTTAGGGAACTGCCCGTAACTTCCTACAAAGTTACACTAGATCAGTACTTTCTCAAACTTCCATGTGATCACAAATCACCAATGAGTAAAGCTCAGGTACAGATCAGGACTTAGCAGGATGGGGGAGTAGGAGGGGAAGCCAGGGTTTCTGCCTTTACTGGTATCCTGCTGCTGGGGTGTGGAGTGGCAGGTGGACACAAACTCCTGAAGGCTCACTTCCCACAGCACTGATGGCCAAGCCCTCCACACCCCAGACCTACCCAATCTCATTTTCTAACCCAATCCCCCTGGTACTCATCCCTCAAAATCTATCATCTGCTTTCAGAAGCAGCAAATGCAGGAGATGAAGAGCATTTGGAGTGCAAAGGGGACTGCCATTGGTTCTATCTGCCACTCATAACACAGCATGATCAAACAAACATTGCCCTAGACTTTCAGCTCCAGTCCTAACAAGGATTGGAAACATTTATTGCATGCATGTAATTGTATAGAAATATTCCAAAATAAACAAAAGCACTGAGCTTAGCCTGGAGGGTTTTTTAAGTCCCCTCTAATATGGTTTGTGTCTTGCAAACACACCTGTTTAAGAATGGAATATATTTTTGTGGCTCCCTTAGTCATTGATCTTTTTTTCCCCTTAAAATAAGTTTGCTGCTCCAACAATGCAGTTCTGGATTGCCAACAAGAAGCAACGATTTTCAATAACCCAGTATTAGGCCTGGCAGAATCTTTTCTGCTCACTTAATACAATCTCTGTTAAAGGTCGTTTCTAAACAAACACATGATGGCATGTGTCTGTCCTCTTAGCTACTTAGGAGACATAAATAGGAAAATTAAGTTTTGAGGCCAGCTCTGGACCAAGCAAACACCTGCAATACTCTATCTGAGAAATAACTAAAGCAAATAATAAATTAAAAAATGACTTGAGGCATCATTCACAGACTACAGCATCTGCTCAGCAAGTATAAGGTCCTAAAATCAAACCTCAGTACTGCTCATCTCTTATTCATTTAACAAAAAGGGTAGTGTCTGAAGTTACATCCTGTTCAATATATTGACTGGAGAAAGGTATCTCCTCAGACAGAGAAATCAACAGATTCCCATGTTTCAGGAGAAACAGAAAACCCCACAAGTTCTGATCTCCATCATGGAGCTTCCTCTCTCCTTCAGTCTTACTAAAGAGCAAAGTCTCTTCTAGGCTTCTAGAGATTAAGAAATAAAATACAAGTATAATTAGAGATTGCTGTCTTCAAGGGTTCCCAAATCTAGATACACAAACTCTCTCTCTGTTTGGAAGATTCCTGCTAGGTGCCAGGAACTTAACAGGGAACCTAAGGCCGGCAACAAAATACATAACTGCCAAGAAAGGGCAGCAATGTTGTGGGACAAGTGATGAAAGAAGGCTACCTGTTCACACTTCCTGCTGTGTTTGGCTGGGATTCCAAACGAAGAGAGGCGGAGCGCCACATGGATCAGCCTTTTGTGGGAGAACAGAACTCACTGATTGCTCTCTCACTCCTACTTCTTCGACTCTGCTTGCACACACACACACACACACAAATGAACAGCAGAGTCACTGGCAGGGAGATTAGTGGCAGGTGTGGGGCATAATAAATCCCAGAGCTTTCTAGATCCAGTGCTACTGGTCACTCAGCAGTCTGCCTACACAGCCCGCCTTCATAGCCGGGTGTGGGGCCCTGATTTAGCAACAACTCCATTTCCTTCAGCTTCTGCAGTAAGCCCAGGGCTTGATCAACTCTGTAAAACGTACCATGAAGTCCCCCCTCACCCCCGCACTTTGCATAGAATGTTCTAGACTAAAGCACTAAAGGACATCTGGTTCCCAATCACTTTCCCTCCTTCTATACAGGGAGGTCACTGCAAGATGAACTAGAAAGTTGAAGCTATAACCTTTTCCCCCTTAACTTGCATGCTCATATATTATGTTACCCCTATGCACACTTAAATGTTGTGTGGGACACACACACATGTGTTGTGCCCATGAACAAAGGCTTTCCCTATCGTATCTCCCTCTTTCACTGGTGGCATTTGGGATTGAATCATAGTGTATGCTTAGCAAGTACTTTATCACCAAGCTACCCATCCAGCCCTTTAACTTTATTGAACCCTTTAAAGAGCTACACTGGGTTGAACCCAAGGCCTCTCACCTGCCAGACAAGCACCTACTGCTGAGCTACATCCCTAGCCTTCCCTAGCCTGCCATAATATTCCAGCAAAACACCATGAAAGCTTCAACAGGAGGTCTTCCCTTCCCTTTGGGAATTTCTTCTATCACCCCCAGCACCAGGCTGCTAACCTGAAACCTTGCCTTTCAGTGGGAGACAGGGGAAGACAGTGGAGCCACAGACAGCTCCAGCATTACATGCTTCCAGATGAGGGCAGAGCTCAGTGGTAGCATATGCAAAGCCTTGGATTCGGTCCCCAGAAGTGTAAGCAAAATAGACTGGTCCCTATGTCCCTCGTAAATAGCATCTGTAGATTCCAAATGTTAATTTGGGAGAGGAATCAAAGCAAGGAAGGATGTGCGCGGACAGTGACATCTACATGTGTGCATGGGCAGCAATGCCCACATCTTCATGGCTCTTACCATTGCACGTGGGATAGCCGTCTGTCCAGGCTGGCTGCTGGTGAATGAGGTTGTTGCCTGGGTTGAGATTCATTACACCACTTCCTTCCAGAATCATGATCTGTAAAGGGTCAAACAGCTGGTTCAGTCTGTGCCTTATGGACAAACATTACTGAAGAGTTCAGATCAGAGAGTTAATTTTAGAGGAAACCAGAGGGGGGGGGGAAGAGAGAGAGAGAGAGAGAGAGAGAGAGCCCTTCCCCACATTGCCACAGCCTTTTCAGTAAAAGCAATACCCATAGCAATTAAAAATTTCCAAGTTTGATTTTCATATGCATGAGGCAAGTATTTGTAGCCACCCATTCATAAATGAATAATCTCTGATCAGGAATGAAGCAGGAGGAAAATACAATACCTGCTCCCAGGGCAAGTCTGGCCAACATCCAAGTTTCTTACAAAAGTGAAAATGCCAGAGAGATTTAAAGTGAAATTTCAATCAATGAAATTTCAGACCCAGCACCAATGTAGGAACTCAGACTAAAATCAAACGTTTGAGAGTCTTCATACAGTCAGTGGGCCCCACACCTGGGGCTCCATTAACGTTTCCTCAGTGTGGAGATCTGCCACAGGATGGGCCAGCTGTCTGGGGCCTGTGCCATGTTTTAGTAAAGCTCCTCAAGTATTTCTGGTTTTGTGATATGATTCAGAATGACTTTGTTTCTCCAGCAGACACTTCCCCCTTTCTGGAAAAAAAATAAAATTTTGTCTTGGGGCTGGGAAGGTGGCTCAATGGTAGAGCGCTTGCCTGGCATGCATGAGGCCCTGGGTTCGATTCCCCAGCACCACATAAGCAAAAAAAAAAAAAAAAAACCGGAAGTGGTGCTGTGGCTCAAGTGGTAGAGTGCTAGCCTTGAGCTGAAGAGCTGAGGGACAGCGCCCAGGCCCAGAGTTCAGGCCCCACGACCGGACCCCCCCCAAAAAAGATTTTTGTCTTTATTTTTTTAATCTCTAATGTTTTTCTCCTTTCTGATAAAAGTTATGACACACATTTATTCTGACAGAGACCTGGAGAATTTAGCGGGGTTTGGATTGGTCCTCAAGTTGACTTCTTCAGTCTGTGGGCTCAGTTTCTCTGCTAATGATGCCGGAGAAGAGCTTTTCCCCATGCATCTTTTGCAATGTTTAAATAAGGTGGAACTTTTTTACACTTTAAAAATATTCCCTCCATTCATTTAACAGTTATGACGTGCCTGCCCCCAAACTGGGCACCCTCCACATTTCTGATCAGAACCTCAGGGTGTGTGCAACCATTCAAAGGAAGGGCAAGTTTTCTCTAGAAGCTTAGTGAGCATTGCCCTGAGGCTGTAAAAGTCATTTGCTCTTTATAAAATGCTGAGGTGGGGACAGAAGTCAATAGCTACAGATCATGGAAATTTTTTCTGCCTGTTTGGGGAAAATTTTTACATGCTCAGTTGTTACCAAGGGCCACCAATTGGAACTGTCCCCCTACGTTTATTCCATATCAACCCTACTGACTCCACCACCCCTCATCCCACCAACTCAGGTTCTACCCCTCTGATTCTGTGTCAGAACTGAGGGAGAGAAGATGAACCCTATCCTGATTTATTTAACAAATATTTATCAGCCCAATGAAGGGCTGGGCACTGTTTAGGGATAGAGCAGTGATTAAGGGTTGAACCAGGCTAGACACGAACATTCGTGATGATTATTAATATGGTCATCATTGGTGCTTGGTAAATAAGTAGGCTTGAAACCAGCCTAAGTGGAAGGTGGAGAAGGAAAGACAAGGTAGGAATGGGGACCAGTGTAACCAGGAATAGCTCCCTGGGTGGAGAAATAGGAGAGTAGGGTTTTGTCTCCTGGTCTATCTATTAGGAGAAATTTGAAACCAGAAGAGCTGAGGCCCACTCCAGGCTCTCCCACTTACTAGTCGCACAGGTTACTTAACCTCTCTGAACTGATTTCCTCCTATGCCAAATGCTGATGATCACCCAAAGCCTGGTCAACATAGATTGGAGACCAAATGAATTTGTCACAGAGCAGGTCATAATTAAGTAGGACAGTTGTGACAATGAAGAAAGTCCACTACCTGAGCAGAGCCTGATCAGAAACACTGGGTCCCGCTTTCCCTTCTAAAGATTGATTCTTGAGTGAGCTCCTGTTTGGAAAGTTCTGTGATTCTCACCTACAGAGAAGGAAAAAGCCATCTCAGGTGAAACTTCTCTCTCTCTCTCTCTCTCTCTCTCTCTCTCTCTATCTATCTATCTATCTATCTATCTTTCCTCTCTCTCTGTCCTCTCTCTCTCTCTCTCATATAATAAGTAGGCATGTTTCCTATCAGCTTTCTAGAATAATGCCCTGGAGCTAAGAAAGCAGTCTGGGGACTTGAAGACCAAAGAAAAGCTTGGAGTCCCCAGGAGGAAGGGTCAGGGAGGGAGAGAGGGCTCAGTCTCTTGTTTGCCCAAGGCTGGGTTCCTTCCTGGCCAGTATTTGCACCACCATAAGCAGTGGAAAGGTTACTGTTTAACCCTGAAAGAGCTGAAGCTCAGTGCCTAGCCTGTTTGCAGGGAGGGACTTGCCAATCTTCTAGGCTTCAGGAGCACAGGCAGGAAAAGACTTCTCTGAAAATCTTTTATGAGGATTTGCCTCCAGGACTGTGGCAAAGAGGCCATTTCAGTGGGAATAAAATTGTCCTTGGCCAAACTGGAGCCACCTCCCCGCAGAAGACAAGCATGGCGTCCCCATTTGTCAGAATTGGATGTGGATTTCTATCCCTAACCCCCTGCTTCACATAGATGGCTCTGAATTCCAGACCTGCCCAACCAAAACCTTTCTGGTCCCTACTTCGCCCACGAAGGAAAAAAATGAGAACACCACTGAACTCAAAGCATTAGCAGACCCACAGAAGATCATGCATGTGGGGAACTTAACAGGCAATAATAATTTTTGAAAGAGTTCACTAAGTGTCTCAAGCCAATGCATAGTATTTGTAAGGATCTTTCCTCAGGAGAGGCATTGCTTCTTGCCATAACAATCTAGAAGCATCCAGAACTATTCCCCACTTCAAGACTTAAGGCTTTCAGCTGCCTCATCCCCTTCTCCAACCCTCTCTCCAGCATTGCTTTCTGACAGCACCCCCTTTTCCAGGGGAAAGCAGGCTGTGTGGTGAGGGGCCCTTTTATAAGGCCAATTAAATGGTTACTACTCATAAAAGAGTTTATGTGGCTTAACTCTCAGTGAGTCAGAGTTCATGAGCTCCCCTAGGCTTGTGAACACAGGATGTTGGGGGCTGGGACCCATAGGGACCCACAGGACTTCACCGGGAGATAGCCCTAGGATGGGCTAAGAGAGCCAAATTCTTTGGTCAAGTCCCCCTGAGGCTCAGTTCAGGTATAAATTTGGGGAGAAGGGGACATTTGCCTTCCAACAGTCTCCCAGGATGGTTGAGGAGAGTAAATGAGATAATGGATCATAAATGTACCCTGAGAACTGTAAAACAACCCTCTTCTGACCAACACACCCACACTCCCTTACACTAATAAAGACTTTCCATGGTATATGTGATTGCTTTATGGGATATAAAAAAGCAACCCTTTTAATTAAAAAGAAGAAGGATTATTTAATGCTCTGTTTTTAGCTCCCTATTTTACCCTCAGTGTAGCTTTCCTGAAGAAAAAAAAATTGTCAACTATATAAAGTCGATTTTGGAATCTGACAGGTAATGTTGAGATGGAGGGCAAAGGGCTTATTCCCTCACAGCCTGAGGGCTGCTTTGAAGAATAAATAATATAGTAGGCTTTAAGAGTATCTACCAGCATCTTGGCACACATACCCTCAATAAAAAAAGTCACTTTTCTTTCCTTGCTCTAAGTAGTAATTCTCAAGCTGTTTTGCTAACACCTTTTTGTTCCTTCCAGGCTCTATTCTTCAAAATCTGAGTAAGGAATTCACATTTCATGCATCAACTACACTGGAGGAAGGATTCTCTTCTCTCTGTCCTCCGCTCCTCAGCTCAGAGCAAACTCTGAGGGCTGGGGACATGCCAAGTAGTTAAAAGCAGTTTCTCACCTGGTTTGGTGCTCAAGCCTATAATCCTAACTACTTGGGAGTTGGAATTGGGGATGTGGTATTATGGTTCAAGGCCAGCCTACGTATAAAAGTTTGAAAGACTACCTCATTCAATGGCTGGGCACCATGGTATGTGCCTATAATCCTAGCTAGGTGGAAAGCATAGTGGCTGGGCTCACTGGCCTGCCTGTCACCACCACTGACACAGGGAATACAAATAGGAGGACCATAGCCCAGACCTGCCAGGGCATAAAGTGAGACCATCTAGTAACAATAACCAATGAAAAAAAAAAGGGGAGGGGGACTGGAGCAGTAGCTCAAGTGGTATAGTGCCTACTTAACAAGTAGGCACTATTTCTATCAATAAAAATATTTCTTTATAAAAAAGAGCAGGCCAGGCCCCAGTGACTCACACCTATATACCTCTATACCTAGCTACTCAGGAAGCTGAGAGCTGAGGATCATAGTTCCAACCAGCCTGGCAGGAAAGTCCTACTGACTCAAACTCCTACTAACCACCAAAAACAAAAACAACAATAACAACAGCAACAACAATAAAAACAGAAATAGAGCTGTGATTTAAATGGTAGAGTGCCAGCCTTGAGCAAAAAAGTTAAGAGACAGAACCCAGGCCTTGAGTTCAAGCTCCAGGAGTGGCACAAAAGAAAGGGGGGTTGGGGAGTGGAGCTGTGGCTCAAAGTGGTAGAGGGCTAGCCTTGAGCGATAGAGCTCAAGGACAGCACCCAGGCCCTGCAATAATAGGAAGAAGAGCAAGAACTAGAATAGCAGTTTCTCAATGTCCCCACCACTGATTTGGGACTGAATAGTTTTTAATTTTTAAAAGTTAACACATGATACTTACACATATTTATGAAATACAGTAGGAGAATTTGTATGTATACACAATGTGTGATGATCAAGCCAGAATAATTACTATTTCTACCTAAAATATTTATCAGTTCTACAGATTGGGAAATTTTGCACTCTTTTCTCTTAGTTATATTGAAATATTGGCATAGATTGTGCTTACCCTGCTATACTTTAAAACATCACAACTAATTTCACCTATCTAACTATATATTGATACCTTTTATTTACCATTTCCCTACCTTTCTCAGCTATAGTGACTACTATTCTTTGAGATCAATGCTTTTAGTTTCCACTAATGAGTAAGAACATGAAGATTTGTCTTGCTATGCCTGGCTTATCATTACCATGCATCATTTCCACAAAAATTAGGATTTTATTCTTTTATGGCTGAATAATATTCCATCATATATATATAGTAGCATTTATATATAGATAGATAGATAGATAGATGTCACATTTCTTTATCAACACTTTGATTCTACATCTGTGAATCATGCTCTAATAAACATTAGTGTACAGGTGGGACTGGAAAAAAATTATTTGGGGTGATGGGCTGTGCTGTGTATTGTAAGGTATCTAGCAGGATCAATCACCTTTTTCTCATTTGATGACAGGGGTTCTCCTTCCACCCCAAATTCTCCTAGAGCAAACTCACACCTGGATGATCGCAGTGGTTAGTAGCAAAGCCTGTGGACGCACACCTGGCTGATTGCAGTGGTTAGTAGCAAAGCCTGTGGACGCAGACAGCTCAGGCTTTGCTCTTACTGGTGTGGCAACCTTGGGCTGTCCCTTGGCCTTTCTAAGCTGCTATTTCCTCTCTGGGGAAACAGACCGCATGCGTTCCTACCACACAGGCTTGCTGAGGATTAAACACAATGGGCTCCTGCAAGCTGGCCACACAGTGGCTCACATACACTGAAAGCTATTACCTAATCAGTGGAGAGTGAGGCCAATGTGCTGCAGCTCAGGGCTGTCTCCATCTATCCTTGGTAGCATGTATTCAGGAAATACAGGATACGTGATTACTTAGACTATTATAAAAACCACCATGCATTCAAGAAAACCCAACTTTATTTCAAACCCAAAGAGTGAAAGTAAATGTACATTATACCAAGATTTTTGGGGGCTGGGAAGGTGGCTCAGTGGTAGAGCGCTTGCCTTGCATGCCTGAGGCCCTGGGTTCGATTCCTCAGGACCACACGAGCAAAAAAAAGAAAAAAGCCAGAAGTGGCGCTGTGGCTCAAGTGGTAGAGCACTAGCCTTGAGCTGAAGAGCTGAGGGACAGCACCCAGGCCCAGAGTTAAGGCCCCACGACCGAACCCCCCTCCCTCCAAAACCCAAGATTTTAAACTATATTTTATCTCCCCACCCCCTTATTGGAGAGAACCAATCAGAGCAAACAGAGGGAAGAGGAGTTAGTCGACTATGCCCCCAACCCACACTCACTCATAATATCATATCCTTGAGAGGAAGTTTGCTAGAATGACTGTTCATTTAAAGAGCAAGATGTAGGCATGCTATCCAAGAGAATAAAGCACAGTACAGAACCTCAAATCACTTCTGGTCAGGACCTATTCTACTATATATAGACAGTAAGTCCCCTGCAAATGATAAACCATTTAGCTCCCCTAGAGATAATAGGCTATGTGAGACTGGCCTGTCTGGAACCTGTTTTTGCAGAAAGGAAGAGCTGTTAAGTAACCACAGACTGAGTCTGGTGGGTGCCATAGACCCCCTGTCACTCACTTTAATGTGTAGTTTTAGATCAACATTAAGCCTACCTCCCATGCCCTAAGCAGCTAAGAGCTTTGGCCACTTCTGCATCAGCCACCAAGTGAGCTCCCATGCCCACTCTTCTTCCAGACCTTCATCTAAGACTTGTTTCCTTCCCTATGGGTGACCAGCCCCGTCTCCGGTACACATAGGTTGGACTAGAGCAAAGGAAATGGGCTGGAAAATTTGGCCTGACTTAAATCTAAAAGAACCCATTGCACCTGCTGGTTGGCAGCAGCTTGGCACATAGAGAAGTGCCACCAAATCTGAGTCTTAAAGACATGCCTGATGCAGAAAGAGATTCTGATTTAGCTTTGGGTTCCTGTCTCCAGAGCTTTCCTTTTTCTGTGCCAGTACTAGAGTTTGAACCCAAGACCTGGGCACTGTCCTTCAGCTTTTTCACTCCAGGCTGGTACTTTACTATATGAGCCTCAGCTCTACTTCTTTGGATCTCAATCCCAAGATCTCAGCCTCCTGAGTAGCTAGGATTACTCACATGAGCTACTGGTGTCTGGTGTCAGAGCTATTCTTTCTATTTTTTAATTAGATTTTATTATTTTTAAGTGGTACAAAGGAGTTGCCATTCAACAAAAATTAGTTTATAAGTACAATGCATCTTGATCCATGTCAACCTTTTCATTATTCTCTCCCAACGCTTTCAATCTACCCTCCCTCCATTTTCTTAGTTTCATGGGACATGTGTTGAATGTTGACTGTATTCCTCCTCCTCTTCTATCCCCCTCTCTTTGGTCTCCTCCCCACAGCTTTCAAGTGCCAGTTTCTTGGTATTCATTTGTTTGAACTATGAGTTAATTTTTCTAAGAAATTACACTGCCAATACTATATTTTGGTTAATACAGTTGTGTATTTTGCATACAACCCTGTATGGGTTTACTTGTACATTTATGAGTTAGTTCTAGCTCCCATCTATGAGAAAGAACCTATGTTCTTTGTCTCTTGGGCTGACTTACTCCAGAGCTGTTCTTAAAAGTAGAAAGGATTGTAACATAGTTGATGAGTATTGGTTTTGTAGTGCTGTGGCTAAGCTGGTGGCTGAGTTGACTGTAGAAATTTCTACCCTTTCTACAGTCTTGGTGTCCCCACAGGGGTGAGAAATAATGGGTTGATGTGAGGATGACACAAAGATGTCTGGAGAGGACACAACATATTACCTCCTACACGACAAGTGACAAGTTGATGTTAGTGACAGGTCAGTGTCAGGTCTTAGGCAGGATGGGTAGGCTGGCTTTGGTATACTATTGAGGTGGGGCACTCTACACACAGCAGGGAACATGCAATGGTCAGGGAGCTCTGAGCTTTGAAGTCAGATGCGTACTGTGAAAATTCTGGCTTTACCAATCTACTAATGAAGCAAGTCTAGACAAGTCATTTATCTTCTCTGGAACTCTATCTCCTCACTTGCAAAATAAGTATAATATGAGAACATTTTTGTATTAGAATGTAATGATGGCTGTTAATTGCTTGGAAAAGCTTCTGACATATGATAACTCCTTGATAAATGCAAGCTAGTTTTTCTAATACTAACTATAATATTTTTTGAACCTCCAAGGATGAAATTAAAGGTCAAGTTCATTCAAGTCTAACCTTTATTAACTGAACTGAGCAAAGGTCACCAGTTGCCACTGCCTAAAGTTAGCTCCAGATCCTAATGCCCCATCCTGGGTGCCTCAGTTAAAAATTCACTATCATGGCTGAGCTATGAACTAAGGTCCCAGCCCTCTTTACAGGAGCCATGCTCTTCCCCTTATGAATGTAGTGTTTGCCCAAGGGTCTGTGAGACACCTCTCCTGCTCCTTCCTTTGACCAGACACACAGCCCAAGACTCCCACAGCTGAAGGCCGTACATCCAAATGCACTAGAGATAACAGGTTTCACATTCCTAGGCTCCCTGGCTGCCAGGCCAACAAGAGAGTACAGCAAGTCTATGGGAGCCTGGAAGAGTGGTCCAGGGTTCCCCACAGAGTCCACTTGCACAGGAAATGCTATGAAGCATAGGATCTAGGATTTGGTGAATATATACAGAAGAGTGAGAGTAAAGAGGTGCCCCCTGAACTCCAGCAGAAGCGTGCTGGCAAGGTGCAGCTCAAACCCCAGGGGCTTTGTCCAGTCTCTAGACTCCTAACAAGACAAGCAACTGATTTCTCCTAAAAAAGGAGGTCTCCTCCTCCTCCTCCTCCTCCTCCTCCTCCTCCTCCTCCTCCTCCTCCTCCTCCTCCTCCTCTTCCTCCTCCTCCTCCTCCACCTCCTCCACCTCCTCCTCTTCCCCTTCCTCCTTTCCTCCTCTTCTCCCTCCCATTTCTCCTTCTCCTCCTCTTTGTCTGGAATGAACACATTTCTACCTAGGGCCTGCTCAGCTGGAAGCATATCTTTCTTTTGTTTAGCTGTAAAACTAATGACCATGCTTCAGGAAGGAAGGCCTATTGATCACATCAAATGCCCCAGCTCTGTGCTATGAATTTTCAAGTGCATTATTTCAGTGAATATAATGACAAATGGACTGTCTAAGGCTCACAGAGGCTAGAAAACTTGGCCAAGGTCACATAGCCTAGCAAGAATTGGAGCTAGGAAATGAACTATACAGCTTGTGGGTGGGGATGGAAGGGAAAACCTGGGAGAGAACAAGGTGAGGTGACATTGTCTAAAAAGAAATGTACTCTTTACCTGACTTATATAGCATCACCTTTATAATAACAATTAAAGTTTGTTTTTAAAGAATTGGTGCTATAAAAGAATTCAAACTCAGAACATCTAGCAACAAACCCTGAGAACTCAGCTACACTCTGTACCAAGAAGAGGGCATTTTTGTGGAAAAGCAAACCCCTTCAGTATCAATGTCTCCTTATTCCAACTGCCATGCCTGGTCACAGAATCTCAACATGTCATTAGCTGCCTTATCAAGCTTGTATGCAAACACACACAATCCAATACCTATATAAGGTGAATGCTTGCTATGACTCAAGTTATTTTCACCTTAAACTTGGGGACACAATGGCCCATCATTATTTGTGC